TGTGTGTGTGTGTGTAGCACCTTGGGAGTGTGTGTGTGTGTGTGTGTTTGAGCCCAGGTGTGTGTGTGTGTGTGTGACAACATAGTGGTGTGTGTGTGTGTGTGTAAAAAAAAATTAGTGTGTGTGTGTGTGTGTTGGCACACGTCTGTGTGTGTGTGTGTGTGTGGAGGCTGAGAGGTGTGTGTGTGTGTGTGTGGGGAGGGGTCAGTGTGTGTGTGTGTGTGTATCATGCCACTTGTGTGTGTGTGTGTGTGTCAGAGCAAGACCGTGTGTGTGTGTGTGTGTTTAATTTTAATTGTGTGTGTGTGTGTGTGTAATAAATACCTGGTGTGTGTGTGTGTGTGTGTGTTGTTGATCGTGTGTGTGTGTGTGTGTGTGCATATTTGCGTGTGTGTGTGTGTGTGTGTTAGTTCTATAGTGTGTGTGTGTGTGTGTAGAACCCACAGCGTGTGTGTGTGTGTGTGTGAAAACCTGTGAGTGTGTGTGTGTGTGTGTTTGAAGAAACATGTGTGTGTGTGTGTGTGTACATACTTAAAAGTGTGTGTGTGTGTGTGTTAATAAAGCCTAGTGTGTGTGTGTGTGTGTAAAGAATGAATGGTGTGTGTGTGTGTGTGTTTGTCGTACAGTGTGTGTGTGTGTGTGTGTAAGTTGAAATCTGTGTGTGTGTGTGTGTGTTCACAGTCATATGTGTGTGTGTGTGTGTGTTTTAATTTTTAGGTGTGTGTGTGTGTGTGTATTTTCAGTCACGTGTGTGTGTGTGTGTGTATATCTGAGTGAGTGTGTGTGTGTGTGTGTTTAGTTTTTAAAGTGTGTGTGTGTGTGTGTTCTTTTTTTTTTGTGTGTGTGTGTGTGTGTGTAAAACCTACGGTGTGTGTGTGTGTGTGTCTGTAGATTGACGTGTGTGTGTGTGTGTGTAATCGTGCTGTGGTGTGTGTGTGTGTGTGTGGTTAAATAGATGTGTGTGTGTGTGTGTGTGCACCTGAAGCGGTGTGTGTGTGTGTGTGTTGTATAGGGGTCGTGTGTGTGTGTGTGTGTTGTTGGTAAAGTGTGTGTGTGTGTGTGTGTTGCTGAAAACTTGTGTGTGTGTGTGTGTGTCTCTCTATGAAAGTGTGTGTGTGTGTGTGTATTGGTATAAACGTGTGTGTGTGTGTGTGTCTGCCTGATCTCGTGTGTGTGTGTGTGTGTTGATGATTTAAAGTGTGTGTGTGTGTGTGTCTGATTACAAACGTGTGTGTGTGTGTGTGTACATTCATACAGGTGTGTGTGTGTGTGTGTCAAATGTGTAAGGTGTGTGTGTGTGTGTGTCAGAGATGACAGGTGTGTGTGTGTGTGTGTCTGTTCTATGTGGTGTGTGTGTGTGTGTGTTTTCGTAAAAATGTGTGTGTGTGTGTGTGTCACGGTAGGTCAGTGTGTGTGTGTGTGTGTTTCAGGAGGCTGGTGTGTGTGTGTGTGTGTGTCAGGAGATTGGTGTGTGTGTGTGTGTGTCGGTGACACCCCGTGTGTGTGTGTGTGTGTAAAGATTAGCCGGTGTGTGTGTGTGTGTGTTCTAGTCCCAGCGTGTGTGTGTGTGTGTGTAGGAGAATGGCGGTGTGTGTGTGTGTGTGTGCTGCGGGTAAGGTGTGTGTGTGTGTGTGTACTCCAGCCTGGGTGTGTGTGTGTGTGTGTGTCTCAAAAAAAGTGTGTGTGTGTGTGTGTGTGTCTTCTCAGGTGTGTGTGTGTGTGTGTCACACTCACTCTGTGTGTGTGTGTGTGTGTTTTTAGTATTTTGTGTGTGTGTGTGTGTGTGATTTTTTTGGTGTGTGTGTGTGTGTGTGTACCTTCCAGTGAGTGTGTGTGTGTGTGTGTTCTCCACGCTTGGTGTGTGTGTGTGTGTGTATAAATTCCTGAGTGTGTGTGTGTGTGTGTGCAAAAGATGTAGTGTGTGTGTGTGTGTGTAGAAAATACTTTGTGTGTGTGTGTGTGTGTGGCAGCTTAGAGGTGTGTGTGTGTGTGTGTTCTGCTCCTCACGTGTGTGTGTGTGTGTGTGCCCTGTCACATGTGTGTGTGTGTGTGTGTTGAGCCCTTAGCGTGTGTGTGTGTGTGTGTGAATGTTCAGGTGTGTGTGTGTGTGTGTGTTTTCCTAGTAAAGTGTGTGTGTGTGTGTGTTGTCTTTCTGTGGTGTGTGTGTGTGTGTGTTTTTGAGTACCAGTGTGTGTGTGTGTGTGTATAAACTCTAATGTGTGTGTGTGTGTGTGTAACTCAAGAATTGTGTGTGTGTGTGTGTGTTAGTTTCCAAGTGTGTGTGTGTGTGTGTGTTGTCATTTTCATGTGTGTGTGTGTGTGTGTTGGGATTCTGATGTGTGTGTGTGTGTGTGTGGGTTTTTTAATGTGTGTGTGTGTGTGTGTGGTTTAATACATGTGTGTGTGTGTGTGTGTATGGGCGTTTAAGTGTGTGTGTGTGTGTGTCTGTGTGTCTGAGTGTGTGTGTGTGTGTGTGTGT